GAGTGAGAGGGGGAGAGAGAGCAAAGAGTATCGTGCGTGGCAGTACACGGTATAAGAATATCATAGCTCAAGTTTGATGGCCCTAACGGTATATCCAAAACATCTCTAACCTCACCCCCCCACCCCCTCCCAAAGTAATGACATCTATATTGCGTCGACGTTTTTGATGTTCCAGATACAGTTATAATTAGCACTCCTAAAGTATATTGAAGGTTCTGGACGAGGTTCGTAAAAGTGTTTTTCTTTCAAGTGAATAATTATAAGACTGATTTTGATCTAGAATTTAAGAAGCAACCAAACTTTCTCAATTTTCAGGTTTGAAATTTTCACGCACTCGTTTTGTTTCGAGCTTTGAGCAGTATTATAGGAGTCAGGGTAGAAACAGCCTGCTTCTTAAATGTCCTAAATTGTCTCGAGGGCGGAGCAAGATCTTGACAATCAATCGCTGATTAAAAAGTGAACATAAAATTGGGTACAATTTTTTGGGTAGGACAAGGCACATGGGCGACCGAAAACATACAAAATTTGGGCTGGGGTAAAGATGACACAATGTACCAGAGTTACTAGCATTCATAAACATTTTCGCTTCAAGACACGGAGACGCATAGGCCAATGTCCCCCTCCAGGTATTCCAGATGTATAATATGGTTGCTTTTAAGCAAAGGGAGGCTATCCCCCAAAAAGCTGTTTTGAACAAATCGAAGGTAAGGTTGTTGGACACTTGTTCAATTTCTTTAACAGACAAGGAGAGTTTTCTCTGTAACAAAGTACACTTATAAACACACAATTGAAACCAAATTGTCCTATACGTATTGCAATTGATCATATTAATCTTTAGTGCACTTTTAAAAAATCATAATTTAAATATATTAATTCTATTTTCTTAACTAAAAGACCTGAAAAGCCAAACTGCAACAAGCAGACTATTTTATTAATACTGTTATCCAAATTCGTAATGGTATTGTGTGTTGAGCATGATACATGCAATTTGAAATGTGCCTGAGCATAGTCTTTGGTCTGCTGACAAGACATAACAACATGTCAATTACCTTCTTAAAGGGTTAATTATTCGGACCCCAAAAGGTCTGCCTTGACCTTGGCTTCAACCCCTCTGGTTATTTCCACGCTCGTTGGTGCTGATTGTCATCGTTATAATTTCATAATTGTCGTAATTATTTTTTTTGTAAGGATACATTAAGAGATTTGGCTTTGTGGTGTAAGGGTTTCACCATTAGTTGCTGTTGTATCTAGAAGAAGTGCGTTTGAATCCCTCTTTGGAAGGTGTAGTAGTAGTAGTAGTAGTAGTAGTAGTAGCAGTAGTAGTAGTAGTAGTAGTAGTAGTAGTAGTAGTAGTAGTAGTAGTAGTAG